AGAGAATAAAGTTTATTTGCTTAAAAAGGCCTTGTACGGGCTAAAACAAGCTCCTAGAGCTTGGAACTGCAAAATTGATGATCACTTGCTGAGTCTTGGATTTGAAAAGAGTCTAAGTGAGGCCACTCTTTATGTGAAAAAGAAGAATGGAGTACTTGTTATAGTCTCCATATATGTTGATGATTTGCTGGTCACTGGAAATGATGAAGCTGCTTTGAATCAGTTCAAGATTGACATGCTGCAGATTTTTGACATGAATGATTTGGGAAAAATGACATATTTTCTTGGTATGGAGATTGATCAGTCCAGCAAAGGCATTTTTATTTGCCAAAGAAATTTTACGGGTGAGATTTTGAGCAAATTTGCTATGTCAAACTGCAGGCCAGTTAGTACTCCTTCTGTGTCAGGAGTTAAATACCAAGCCATTGATGGTTCAACAAATGTTGATGCAGGGGTATATAGAAGTATGATTGGCAGCCTTCTATATTTATCTGCTACCAGGCCTGATATAATGCATGCTGTTAGTTTTCTTTCAAGGTTTATGCATTCACCTACTGAAGTTCATCTCAAGGGTGTTAAAAGAATATTCAGATATTTGAAGGCAACTGCTGGTTTTGGCGTTTTCTATCCTAGAGCTGAGAAAATTAAGTTACTTGGCTTTTGTGACGGTGATTGGGTAGGGTCTGAGGATGATATGAAAAGCACCATTGGTTTTTGTTTCACTCTCGGATTAGGTGTTATAAGCTGGTGTTCTCAAAAGCAAGTTGCACTTGCACATTCCACTACAGAAGCTGAATATATAGCTGCTGCAACTGCTGTGGATAAGGCTATTTGGTTAAGGAAATTGTTGGTTAATGTTCATCATGCTCAATCCAATCCTACTGAAATGTTGTGTGATAGCAAAGCGGCAGTTGCTATTGCTAAAAATCCAGTCTTTCATGGAAAGACAAAACATTTTAAATTGAAGTATCATATTGTTAGAGTTGCAGAAAATGATGGTGATATTGTTATGGTGCACTGCTCCTCTGAAGAAAATGTTGCTGATATTTTCACTAAGGGCTTATAGAAGATCAGATTTGAAGCTCTTAGAAACAAGCTTGGCGTTTGCAGCTTGGATGCCAAGGAGGAGTGTTGAATGAAGTTCAGTTTTTTGTAGTTTTCGAAGTACTGTGCCATCACATGCTGCAACAATTCAGTGTTTGACTTTTTGATGTAATTTGACCTTTAGTTAGGTAGCTTTTTGTTAACCTTCTGTCAGTATAGACACTTGAGTAGGGGGCTAAAATTAAGCTACTTGTAGCTTGGTAAACTACTCTTCCTCTTTCCCGAAAGCTAGTGTTTATTTTGTATAAAAGGAGAAATCAATGATCATTACTGTGTTCTGCTCATTTTTCTCTCTGTTTTTTTTTTCTCTCCATTTTTCCTTAGAGCAAAAACGTTATAGACTACAATCATTTCAAAAAAAAGAGCTTTTTAAATTAGAAAATTTGAGGGGGTTTGCAACTTTGTGCAACAATGCATGCGTATCACATAATGGGTTTGAATCCAAATTGCAAAATGGCCTATGTACTAATTAAATCATACAGTTATATGGGACAAACTAAAAGCATATGCATGCATAAACCTTTTTATGACAACTATGAAGTTATCTTGACACCAGAATAGCAATCAAGCACGAAAACAACAAGAACTCAATATAATATCCAATCTAAGGTAAGTCATAACAAAATGCCTCCACAACAAACTGAGTTGATGAGTACCTCATTCGATACATCAAAAACACCTTCCTGAATATTCTGGAGGATCTTTGCAGTAGTCTTTATGAAGGCCTACAATATAATTTAACATTTGAGTCAAACATTAGTTAAATAAAATAAAATAACATCCTAGCTGGAGAGAGTTTAAGCTTTAAGGTGTAGAGAAAGAAAAACATGGCATGCCACTTTTGACTGGTTATATCACCTCCTCAACATTTTGTGCTGTTTTGGCAGATGCCTCCAAGAATAAGAGCCCATTCTCCTTTGCAAACTGTTCGCCTTCTTCTTTGCTGACAGCCCTCCTGTGAGCAAGATCACACTTGTTCCCTACAAGCACGATTGTCATGTTTGGATTTGCATGTTGCTGAGCATCCTCCAACCAGCTTGCTAGATGGTTGAATGTCTCTCTCCTAAAACATTGACAAAATCGAGTTATAGTTAAACAAAATCATAACTGAAGATGAACAAGATTTGAATGGAGAATAACTTGAAAGACAGAACAAAACAAGCAAAAATAGAAAATTTGGAATTCAGATTCAGAGCAGTACACTCAGTCGCCAGCTAAAACGCTAGGGGAAAAAATTCCAAATATAGGAAAGTAAAGCTACACTAATGATAGGGCAAGACAGTGACAGCTTGATGAATTCGAAACCCACTTAAGACAGAACAATATTATGAAGCCTGTACAATCTAAGAAGGGGAAAGAACGCTTCCAAGTTCTGAGCTTTGACCTAGTTATGTCGTAGACCAGAAGAGCCCCAGCTACCCCTCTGTAGTAAGATCTAGTGATTGATCTGAAGGATTCTTGCCCAGCCTGAAACAGAAACCAGATTCTTGGTTTTCACTTTTCAGTCCATAAATAAATTTTAAATGGTGAAACAAAATAATGATCACAAAAAAAAAAAAAAAGAGAGATAAAGCATGCTGCTCAGAATCCATTAATACTCTTTTGACACATGACATAGGGACAAGATGAGCCTTCACCATAAAAGAACCAGAAAAAGTGGACATGCCCCCAGCTAGTATATAGATCAAAGTGATGGAAGTTATGTGAAGCAGCTTAGGTGGCAGTAGCAGTATATCAATGCCATCAAGCTGCCCAAGTTCAGTTTGGTTAAACTGAAACTAACCAAACTGTTTTGTGTCCTTTTCTAGTCATATTTCTAGTTGGAGCCATGTGATGATGTGTATTATTTTGATGATAAAATACTGTTGTAAAAGAGCTCCTTAGCTTGTATTTTTTGAATTTAAAATTTTAAACTCTTTATGTACAAATGCTGGAAAACTAAAATGGAAACTGGATTTCAGCTCTTCAATGTCTCTCTCCGTTTCTTTGAGAAATAACCGAACATGGTATCAGAGCCATGAGTTCTTGAGGGACTGTGAGAGATTTCAGTGAAACCCAAATACACCAAACACCTTAAACCTTATTGCAATGGAATCAAACATCAGCTTCACCGCAAAGACCCCTGTTTTTGCTGGCCAAAACTACACAGTTTGTTTAGTGAAGATGAAAGCATCTCTAAGGGCTTTCAAACTTTGGGAAGTGGTTGAGATAGATCGATAACCAGCTCCTCTTCCTCCAAATGCTACTCTTGCTCAAATTAAGAGACACTCAGAGGAGGTGGCAAAGAGATACAAAGCCTTGACCTGCCTTCACTCAGTAGTGACCGATGAAATTTTCAACAGAATCATGACTTGTGAGACAGCCAAAGAGGCTTAGGACAAGCTGAAAGTGGAGTTCCAAGGTGATAACAAGGCAAGACAAATGGAGGTTCTCAATCTGAAAAAAGAGTTCGCGCTCATTAGAATGAAGGATACAGAGACGGTGAAGGAGTTCTCTGACCGACTGACGAAGGTGGTGAACAAGATAAGATTGCAAGGGGAAGAATTGTCTGATAAGGTAGTAGTTGAGAAGGTTTTGGTGAGTCTACTGGAGAAATTTGAGCATAAGATCTCATCCTTGGAGGATTCCAAAGATCTGTCTCAATTCTCCTTGAATGAATTAGTCAATGCTTTGCAAGCCGTGGAGCAAAGAAAGGCTTTGAGGCTTGAAAACAATGTTGAAGGAGCATATTTGGCAACTGACAAAGAAAAAGCAGTAGCCAAAGATGATGAAAACAAGCAACTCGGTGATCAAAGAAATCGAGAAAAGGAAGGGTATCAAAACAACAAAAAGGAGAGCTATGCATCTTGCTCTCATTGCAAAAAGAAAGGCCATTCCGAGAAATATTGTTGGTTTAGGCCTGGAGTTCAATGCAGAAAGTGCAAGCAATTTGGACATGTTGAAAGGGTCTGCAAAGAAGGTTCAGATCGGGTTCAGCAAGCCAAAATTGCAGAAATTGTTGAAGAGGAAGAGCATCTGTTTATGGCTATAAAGATTGGAGATTGCAGTGCATCCATCTTAAGTAGCGACTCTTGGTTGATTGATAATGGTTGTTCAAACCACATGACCCCAAATGTAGCCATATTCAAAAGCCTTGACAGAAAATACAATTCAAAAGTCAAACTAGGAAATGGAGAGTTGATGGAGGTTAAAGGCAAGGGAGTAGCTACTGTTGAAACACAAACAGGTATCAAATACATTCATGATGTACTGTTTGTGCCTAATATTAACTATAGCTTGATAAGTGTGGGTCAATTGATTGAACATGGTTATGTCCTTCATTTTCATGACAAAATATGTGAAGTAGAAGATGAATCTGGTTCAAAAATGTTTACTGTTAGAATGAATGAAAGGAGTTTTCCTATTCAATGGAAACAAATTGAAATTAGTCCAAAGGCTAGTGTTGTTGATGTGAGCAAAAGCGAGGAATTTGATGAAAGTGCAACTTGGAACTGGGAAAGTTCGAAAATTGTTGCTGCAGATCAGGTTCTTGTAGCAAATGATGAACCAATATTTGATTTTGGGAATGATGAATTTGAGCAGGAGAATGATGATGAATCTTATGATGTTTTTGCTATTAGAGGGACCAGAACACAAGTTGACATCTATGAAAGGTGTAACATGGTCATTGAAGAACTTGCAAATTATTTAGAAGCTACAAGATCAAAGGTCGGGAGAATTACAATGCAGGAGGAGTTTGCTATGAAGAGTTGCAAAGCTGTTAATAATTCACTGGTTCTAGGAGAAAATTCAAAAATGAAGTTCAATTAGTTTATTGCAATTCCGAGGGGCAAATAGTTGACATTTTTACAAAGCGTTTGCAAAAATCTAGGTTCGAGCTACTAAGAGAACAAGTTGGAATGTGTAGCCTTGATGTCAAGGAGGAGTGATGGAAGTTACGTGAAGCAGCTTAGGTGGCAGTAGCAGTATATCAGTGCCATCAAGCTGCCCAAGTTCAGTTTGGTTAAACTGAAACTAACCAAACTGTTTGTGTCCTTTTCTAGTCATATTTCTAGTCGGAGCCATGTGATGATGTGTATTATTTTGATGATAAAATATTGTTGTAAAAGAGCTCCTTAGCTTGTATTTTTTGAATTTCAAAATAACTCTCTATGTACAAATGCTGGAAAACTGAAATGGAAACTGGATTTCAGCTCTTCAACGTCTCTCTCCATTTCTTTGAGAAATAACCGAACACAAAGTAAGAGTTTATTCATTTCTTCTTTGCGAGTTGCTAGAGAATGCAGCTAAACAAATCAATTAAGTGGGTTTTCCATGAAGATAAAAGGCAGACTAAAATGGGAAACAAAAAATCCAAGCTAAATGGAACAAGTAACATACCCAATTGAAGAAAAGCACAACCCCAATAGCTTTATGACCAAATTACACTGTGGACTCATTAGTTTCCTAGACAATGAATCCTAACTCTTACCACTACTAGAGTGAACTAAGATTTCCTTTAAGTAATTGATGAATTTATATTTCCTCCTATTTAGAGGTTTACGCCATCAAGCCCTCGATTGCAACAACATAATTCCTGTTAAGGAATATGAATTCCAGCACACAAGATTCTGGGATTCCGATACTCGACCTGAACTGTTAGAAATTCATGGGGAAAAGACCATTTTTCCTCTTTTATTATCAAATAGTAGAGTGTTGGCTAGTACCATGTGTTGTTGATAATTGCAGATGGGCAGGTACGAGAAGATGTGCTACATATATGGCTAGGTTGTTGTTTTACTAAAAAGGAAAAAAAAGGGAGCAAAGCAGGCAAACAGGAAAATTGAATAAGCTTGCAAAGGAGACAAATTAAAGAATGCTAATAAGATGTTTTCCTACCCTATTTATGAGTCTCTTTTTCTTTTTAGTAAATCTTATTCTTTTAATAGTAATGGTAGTAGAAAATTCACTGCAAATTTGTATGTTTTGTATCATTAAGAATGATGGTTCTGTCAGGTAACTAGAAGTGTTGATACTGAGCGTGGATGGCTGAGTCTGCAAGAGCAAAAGACTGTTGATGCCATTGTACAAGCTAGGTAATCATGATATAGCTTGTTTCTCTAGAATTACATGTCTATGCAACCATTTCCTTTCTCAATTCTTAAATGCTTGTTTCATTTTGTCTTTCACAGCAAGCTTCCTTTGTCAATTGTATTGGTCGGGGTTGGAGATGGGCCTTGGGACATGATGAAGGAGTTTGATGATAATATCCCTTCTCGAGCATTTGATAATTTCCAGGTAAGTATTGGGAACACAAATAATCTTTGGTTTTATTTGTTGTAGTTTAGTTTTGATGTATTGTTGTCAGCAAGACTACAAGGTGGATGAGGCTTTTTCTTGACTTGGTTTTCTATCTCTTGATAGTTTGTGAACTTCACAGAGATTATGTTAAAGAATACTTCTCAAACACAGAAAGAGACAGAATTTGCTTTAGCTGCATTAATGAAGATTCCCTCACAGTATAAGGCCACTATAGAGCTTAATATTCTAGGGTAATAAATCATGTTCTTCCGTGTGTTTTTTTCCTGCAAAGTTTTCCATTAGCAACAGCATTACATATTTTCTACTTATTTCTTGGGCAGCAATCAGATGGGAAATATTCCCGAGAGTGTCCCCCTTCCTCCTCTTGTATCCCGCGCTTCTGCATATGATGTTCAAGTATAAGGCATTCGAAATGATGTTCCAAGTCTTCTGATCACAACAACAGGATTAATTATACTGAACTAGAACCTCTTGGAACAAAAATAGTATGGGGATCCAAGTCTTCTTGAGTTTTTTGTCTTTACTTGCAGTTTAAATTACTTTTGAAACTCCTTGTTTTAGTAGCTATTATTTCAGAATGCTTCTCAAGTAAACTAGTAACAAGAGACTAAGATTATATGTTGTTCTTGACAGCGTTGCCCCATTTGTTTTTCCCACCCAAGGGACATGGCATTTGGTTGTGGGCATCAGGTATTCCTTGAATGCATTTGCAAGTTTCTGCAATAAAGTAAAAAGAATACAGAAAATGCAGAACCAAAATATTGCAGAACAAGAGCTTCTCTGATATGGAGCTCTCTTTTTAATTTCCAATTAAATGAGACATAAGAGTTGCTGAAAAATACATACAGCATGTACATATCAGTTTTGCAAAAGAAAAAAACTACCAAAAACTAGAGCTTAACTGCAAAAAACTAAAGAAACAGTTACAAATTAAAAAAGCATAACTGCTGTTAACTGATATTTTCAACACTCCTCCTTGCTTTTTATATTTGTAACTCCAAGCATATCTCTGAACTCTTCAAATTTCTACCTTGGAAGAGCCTTCGTCAGAATATCTGCAACTTGAACTTCAGAATCACAATGTTGCAAAACAATTTCTTTGTCCCGAACATAATTTCTAATAACGTGATATTTAATCTTGATGTGTTTGGTCCTACCATGCTGCACTGGATTTTGAGCAATAGTAATTGCTAACATGTTATCTACCTTGAGTACACAAGGCTCAATTTGATCAAAACCAAGTTTTTCAAGCACCATTCTAAGCCAAATAGCATGATTCGCTGCTGCCCCAGCTGCTAAATACTCAGCCTTAGCTGTGGACTGAGCTACAATATCCTGCTTCTTTGAATTCCAAGAGAAACTCCCTGAACCAAAGGAGAACACATAACTTGTTGTGCTTATCATATCCTCCATAGAACCTGCCCAATCACTATCAGCATACCCCTGTAACCTTCCTTGTTGATTACTGTCAAACCACAAGCCAAGTTCATAGGTTCCTTTGATGTACCTAAGAACTCTCTTGGCTGCAACTAAATGAAATTTACTAGGAGTTGACATAAACCTTGACAAATAGCTTGCTGCAAACATCAAATCAAGTCTTGTAGCAGTTAAATAAAGCAGGCTACCAATTAAACTTCGGTAGTAGGAGGAATCAACCTTGGTTTCTTGATCATCCTTGGAAAGCTTTTCATTTTGAACCAGTGGAGTGGCAACTGGTTTGCAATTCTCCATTTCAAACTTCTTCAAGATATCCAGTGCATACTTTCTCTGGCAAATAAAAATTCCCTTACTCAATTGTTGAACTTCAAGTCCCAGAAAATATTTTGTCTCTCCCAAATCTATCATTGCAAACTCTTGCATCATAACCTTCTTGAATTGTTCCAACAACTTCAAATCATTTCCAGTTAACAATAAGTCATCCACATACAATGACAAAATAAGTTGCGATTCACTGCTGTTGCCTTTCACATATAAAGTTGCTTCTTTTGTGCTCCTCCTGAAGCCTTGACTCATCAAGTAGTGATCAATTCTGCAATACCAGGCCCTTGGCGCCTGTTTTAGACCATACAAAGCCTTGTTAAGCTTATAAACACAATCTTCCTTCCCTGTAATCTCAAACCCAGGTGGTTGTTCAACATAAATTTCCTCTGGCAAAACACCATTAAGAAAAGCTGATTTTACATCCATATGAAACAACTTCCAACCCAAATTAGCAGCTAATGCAATTAGAAGCCTTACTGTATCATGTCTTGCCACTAGAGCATAAGTCTCTCCATAATCAACCCCCGGCTGTTGAGCATACCCCTTCACAACAAGTCTGGCCTTATGTTTGTGTATAGAACCATCTGGATTTAGCTTAGTTCGAAACACCCACTTCACTCCAATAGGCTTGTTATCATTTGGTTTTGGAATAAGACACCAAGTTTGATTTTTTTTCAATCATAGACAGCTCCTCCTTCATGGCATCAATCCAAACCTGCTGTTTAGCTACTTCTTTAAAACAATTAGGTTCTGCAGAAGCTAAATTACATCTTGCATAAATCTCAACTAGTGACTTGGTTTTCAAAACCGGTGAATCATCATCAACTTCTGTAATTTCAGAATTGGAAACAACATCTGAACCAGCTTCACACTACTTATTTGAACCTTTTTCTATCTTCCCTGCATCCCAATTCCAGTGTGCACTCTTATCAAAAACAACATCTTTATGCACATTTACCTTCTTGGATATAAGATCATACACCTTATAGCCTTTTGCTTGTGTTGCATAGCCTATAAAGATCCCAATTTCTGCCTTCTCATCTAATTTTCTCTTTTAGCTGCTAGAACGTGATTATAACAAATTGAACCAAACACCTTCAAGTGATCAACTGATGGTTTTTGACTATACCAAACCTCAATAGGTGTCATGCCTTTTACTGCCTTTGTTGGTAGACCATTTAAGAGATAGACAGCTGTATAAACTGCTTCAGCCCAAAAACATTTAGGCAATTTCTTCTCTGCTAACATGCACCTTGCCATCTCCATAACGGTTCTATTTTTCCTCTCTGCAATGCCATTTTGCTGTGGAGTATAAGACACTGTCAATTGATGATCAACACCAGCTTCTTCACAAAACAAATTGAAATCATTAGAGGTATACTCCTTGCCATTATCTGATCTGAGCTTCTTAATTCTGCATCCACTTTGGTTTTCAACCAAAGCTTTGAATTTTTTGAACACAGGCAAGGCTTGCCCTTTGCTGCCAAGAAAGTATACCCATGTCATTCTTGTAAAGTCATCAATAAAGAGGATGAAATATCTGTTTTGGCTGAGAGATGGTGTTCTCATAGGACCACGAATATCCGTATGCACCAGTTCAAGCTTCTGAGTTGCTCTAAAAGATTTATTCACAGGAAAAGGCAACTTATGCATCTTGCCTAATTGACAACTTTCACAAACACTGTCAGTTAAATGCAATTTTGGCAAATCTCGAACAAACTCATGTGTTTGCATAAATTTTAGGCCTTTGACATTGAAATGACCATATCTTTTATGCCATAAATCTGCATCCACAATTTTAGAAGTAGAAAAACAATGTTGCACCTTTTCCAAATCCAAAGGAAAGCTATTTTCTACCATTTTCACCCTAGCTATCTCATCACCAGTAGGGTCATAAATAAAACAAGAATCATTCACAAAAGATAGAGTGTATCCCTTTTTCATCATTTGTGCAACAGAAAGCAAATTCTGGCTCAAGCTAGGAATAAATAGGACATCAGTAATTTGCTTTGTACCTATTTTAGTTTGAATAACAGCAGTACCTTTCCCTTGTGATCTCACCACATTACCATTTCCTAACTTGACATTTGTGATAACTGATTTGTCTATTTCAATGAAGAAATTTTCATCCCGAGCCATATGATTAGTGCATCCACTATCAACAAATGAGCTACTAGATGGCAGAGATGAACCTTGTGACATTGTGAACAAGTAGTCCTCCTTGCACTGATCTTCAGCATAATTAACTTGCTGTTGTTGCTTTGGTTTGTACTGAGCTTGCTGATGTTGTGTTTGATGCTATCGCTGTTGCTTAGCCCTGCAATCCTTCTCAAAATGGCCATACTTTTTACAAAATCTACACTGAATCTGTGATTTGCCTTTGAACCAACAATCTTTTTCTTCATGGTTTGTTTTTCGGCAATGACAACATGGAGGAAACCACCCTTTTCTGCTTTGCTAATGCTGCTGATATGCTTGGTTAAAACCCATGGTCTTATTGCTTTCAGAACTAGTGGCTAGTTGTTTTCCTTTTTGCCTTGCAAGGAAGGCTCCTTCTGTAGTTTCATCAGTTTTCATAACCAGCCTTTGCTCATGAGCTTGAAGCTTGCTTATAAGGTCAGTGATGGTTAGCTCTTTAAGGTCACAAGATTCCTTTATGGTAGAAATCTTAGACTCAAATTTATCTGGTACACCAACAATAATCTTTTCCACCACCCTTCAATTTGGAAATTCCTCACCATGAAGTCTGATTTGGTTGACAACATCCATCAATTTATTTGTATATTGATGGACTATCTCTGTCTCCTGCATTTTCAGCATTTCAAATTGTCTTTTGAGGGTTACAATCTTGTTACCTTTAACCCGAGAACTGCCATCAAACTCTTTCTTAAGAGTATCCCATGCTTCTTGTGTTGTTTCTGCTCCCATGATCCTTGAGAAAATATCATCTGTTACAACACTGTGAATGTATGAGAGGGCTTTGTATGAAGCTTGAACATAGTCAGCATGTTGCTTCATTTGGGCTACAGTTGGATTGTTTGGCAGCATAAGAGGATGAAACCCATCTTCTACAGATTCCCACACACCATTACTGTAACACCCCATATACCTTAGTGAATAATTTAAAAAAATTAGTGTCCTTTAGTTTGTGGTTTTTGGGATTAAATTGATGGAATTTAAAGTTTGGGGGTTTTAAGTAGAATTTAGGAGAAGTTGAATGACCATAACTCAATTATCCCAATTTTGCTTACCACATGGCATTGTCCCAACCAAGTTTTTTTTCTTTGTCGGTGGAAGCTTGGATAAGCCTCCAGAAGGCTCCCAAAAGCCCCATTTTTGTTTTCCTACACCTTCCTCTTCCACCTACATCCTTTCTTCCTTCTTTCTCCAACCAAGGTTAAGGTGCCTTTTGTTAGGTAAGTATAAGTTTTAGTTATGAATTTTGGGTTAGAGTTTTGGGTAGTTTAAATTGGTGAGATTTGACTTTAATCCTTTGGTTTATAAGATTTTTGGGTATTAAATTTTTATTAGAAATATCCTTAATTTTGGGGCTTATATGGGAAAGATAGTGAGTTAGTCCTTTTTATTGGTTGATTTGGGTGTGAATTTTGCTACAGGAATTATAAGTATTATTTATGAATTACTATTCATGATTATTGTTTATGATTACTATTCATGATTACTATTCATGATTACTGTTCACGCACTATGCTTTGATCTCTTTCAATAGGAAGTCCTAATATTATTTTGGACATATTATGAATTTGTTTGACATGCGTATGTGTTTGTGGCTATGGAGGAAGTGGACCTAAGCTTAAAGCTTGGGGTATTCAGTGGACCCTTCGGGGTATTTAGTGGACCTCTGCGCAGTAGGGTTAGTACTGTGATTAGCTCTAGTACAGTGTTGCTAGCACACCTCAGTGGACTCCATAGCATTGTGTGATTTTCGATTTTATGCATTACGCTTGTGACATCGTATTTGTGAGCATCTGATTTTTGTATATGAATTCAATTTAAATGTCATTGATTATTACTTGACGTTTGTGCTTATGATTTGAGATATTAAATCATTATTTGAATAGTGAGAATTATAATATTAGGTTAAATACCCTTTTTGGTCCCTCTACTATAGGAAAAAGCCCCTTTTTGATCCCTGTACCAAAAAAATTCCCTTTTTGATCCTTACTGTTTATAAATCCAGCCCCTTTTTGGTCCTTCCGTTAATTTTTGCCGTTAACTTAACTGGAACAGCTGACGTGGGTATGCCAATGTGTAAAATATGCTTACATGGACTTATAACACCCTCCACATCACCCTCCAAGTCATCCTCCCCCGCGTGAAAAAAAGAAAAAAAACTTAAATGCTAAATTTAGTCCTTCAACTTTATAGATTTACATTTTTTTGTCTTTAAATTATGTTTTTCATTTTTTTATTAATTATAAGTTTTATTTATCTATATAATCTAATAATAAATTATGTGACTTTATAAGTTTTTATTTAAATTATAATTATGCTAAAACAAACTTGATAAAATGGCATTTCTTTTTTTTCATGTGGTATTTTTTTCATATTTAAATAAAAACCCACATAATTTATTATTATTATATTCTTCTTCTTCTTCTTCCTCCCTTTTCTCTCTTATCCCTCCGCCCCTTCCTCTTTCTCAGCCTTCTTCCTCCGCGAACCCAGCAAATAAAAACCCAGCCTTCTCTCTTATCCCATGAGGAACCCAAGACCTGGGTTCATGAAACCCAAATCTGGGTTCCTCA